GCGAAAAAAAAAAAAAAAAAAAAAAAAAAAAAAAAAAAAAAACAAGTCTCTTAGACAAACACTGCCAGTATCAATCAACTGAATTCAAGCTTTCAAACTGTGACATTTTAATATTTTAATCTATCTAAGTAGGTAGAGAATGTGGCACTCTGGAAGCCGGATTACTTCACCATATATCCACAATCCCTCACCACCACTTCAAAGTTGCTGTCAGACTTCTGTAGAATTAATGTCTATGACACCCACAATGGTCCTGGATTAGCATTGGAGGTGCTGACCTCCAATCTGTAATATGCCATCTAAACTGATTTTCCCCCAAAGTGATAAGTGGAACTGTGCTTAAGTCCAAAAATTTAGGACAGAGTTTTCTATAAGTCAGTCACTGGTGAGAGAATCAAAAAGGTGACCAACCGAAATTAAACTGTTCAGTCATGCTTAGGAATCAGGAAATACTACTTACCCATTCTCCAAAACACAGCTGACAGAACACACTTGTATGTATATTGCTAAGTCTTTTGTCCTTCCCTGGTTATCGCTTTATTATTTTCTTCATTCTTTTTTAGTAGCAAGTATCTCTGGGCTAAAATACCCACATACTAATTTGGCTTTGGCTTTTTATCCTTCATAGTCTCCTTATTATTCATTTTCCCCCAAAATTTCAATCAATAATTTTATTGAACAAATGTTTACCAAGGACATACTGGACATAAGATGCTCTGCCAGACCTACTGGGTGGTACTCTACAGAGGAGAGATTCCATGTTGTTTGTCCTACAAATAACCTCCAAGAAAATGAAAGGAAGACAATAAATACAGAAGTCTGCTTGCAGAAAAGCAGGAGATAGAAATGAATTATGACCAACTGCAAAAAGAGACAAACCAGTCAAAGCACTAAAATTTAATATTTTTTAAAGTAGATGAAATTGAAGAGGTGCATGTACTAATAGATTTAAAATCATGCATATTCTTCCCCATGAATCTGTTCAAATGTAGTTAAAAACACACATGACAAAACCAAGCAATTATAAATCCTCTGAAGCATGTAACTGTGATTACCTGCTACTCTCAGCAATATAAAAATACTTTCACCACAATTACATTCCAGCCGGTAATGTAATTCAAAACAAACAAGTCAGAGACATCGCTCAAATGGCAGAACCAACAAATACAGATGCTTTGCATCAAGGAAATGAATCCACTGAAGAAATGCAACTGAGGAGCTGCCCTCCAAGTCTTGGAGCTGGGCTTCTGGTGGAACAGCGAGGCCCCCTTCTGGGCACAATGCACAGTGCGCACAGCGTAGCTCTGCAAAGCTGCCCCCTTTATCAGAGCCAACCCTTACTGCAGTCAGGGGGGTGACCATCTGGGCCATTCTGCTGTGGATACCCTTTCCAGTGTTGTGTTCACAGTTTTAAATTTTAGATTTAAAATGTTTAATTTACCTGTTTTTTTTAAAAAAGAAATAACTATTCAACTTCAGATTAAATCGACCATTCTATTTAATTCTGCTACCAACACTCCCACCACAAACTGGCTGACTCATCCTCTTTACCCTGTGCTCCTTTTTCTTTTTACCATCACTCTTACCAGCCTCCAATAAACTGTATAATCTATTATATTTATGACCTGTCTCCCTTTGCTAGAAGATAAGCTCCATGAGGGCAGGATTCTTTGTTTTGTCCACTGATCCAGGCAACAAATGGATTCCAGCACAGTATAATTACTAGATAACAAGGAATTGTCCCATTGTTTTCTTCTTTTAAGACTATTATTCATCTTCAAAGAAGGCATAAATAAGATTTTATTATAGCAATATGCTATAATTTAAAAATGACACTTAAGTACTTGTTTGAAAAGTATGTATTTTTCTCTAAATGCTTTATAAAAGCAAGAAATCTGTTCTGTGGACCATGTAATCATAGTCTATATATATACAAGTCATATACAATTAAAAAAGAAGTCACAGGCCCCCTGTTCCCTGGAAGAACAGAGTAGCTGCAAAAACTGAAGAATCCAACTCTGAAATGCCAGTCCTGGAGAACATGCCTGCAGTGTGGCATGCTCTATCCAGACACACACCAGGCACCTGGGTCTGGATGCACATTCTCTGGAAGGTTGGCATTTTCCTGGACTGAGCATAATGTTGTGGCTGGAAAGGCATGCACTACTTGCTAATTTCTCAAACCTCAAACCTTAATTTTTTCCCCTTCTTAAAATGTCCTTTCAGCCTGTGGAAAAGCTAATAGTTGTTTATAATGATCAGACTTCTAAAAAGTGCTAATTTGTTCCCTTAACAGAGCAAAGGATGAGAGACAGATTTCCCACAGATTAACAATGTATAAACATATTATTCAAAGATGTCAACAGCTTTGAATCCAAGAATTTTGTCCAGGTCACTTTGGGGCATGAATCTTTCATCGGAATGAGTTCAAGATTTCTGACATTCCTTTTTCCGAACTTTTGATCTTGGTGCTATGAAAAAAATAGAAAAGGAGAAAATGAAAGAGGTAGGCTCATGTCAGATTCTTTTCACACTGACTTGTTTTAATGGAGGTACATCATATAAACTGTAGGAAACTGACCATTTGGATTTTCTTGTTTGTAGAAGGTCTTTAACATTTCCACTGCTTCCTCAGCCCGATATCCAGGAATGCACTGATAAAATGAGAAAGTTGAGAATGAACAAAGGCCTATGAAAACGTGTGATATCCCATAAAAACAGCAATATATACATGATTATGCACACAGATTTCAGATGTTAATATACATTGGGTATACAATGTTCGGAACACGGGCAAGGAATGACATTTCCAGAAGAACAGGAATACAGCCTCAGTCAAACACCACTTTCAATCAACTATTACTTATCAATCAACTATTATTAAGTTATCAGCTATGTGATCTTGAGTAAGGAACGTAAACTTTCTATTCCTTGTATGTAAAATGTAGCTAATAACAGCCCTCACCTCAGAGGGATTTTGTGAAGATTAAATGAGATAAAACATGTTAAATACCTGGCACATCATAAGTGCTTCTTAAGTAATAGTTATTTTTATCTGCTGTTATCGACTGGTGGTTCATTAAGTGTTTGATGCTATAGAGCTAGGGTTGGCAAATTATACTTGGTGCACCAAATTCAGTCCATGGCTAAGAATGGTGAGATAAGGATGGATTTTATATTTTTAAAAGATTGTTTAGGGCCGGCCCGGTGGCGCACTGGATAAGTGCGCCGCTTGGGAAGCGCGGCGGCGCTCCCGCCCGAGGGTTCGGATCCCACACTCACTGGCTGAGTGAGGCGCGGGGGCAACACCGAGGGTTGCGATCCCGTTGCCGGTCCCCGGTCCGGTACGGGGGCAACACTGAGGGTTGCGATCCGTTGCCGGACACGGAAAAAAAGATTGTTTAAAAAAAAAACAAAACACTATACAACATGAGTGCCTCACAAAGGCTAAAATAATGACTATTTGGCTCTGAACAGGAAAAGTTTCTTTCTTTTTTTTTTTTTTTTGTCTTTTTTTCGTGACAGGCAACGGATCGCAACCCTCAGTGTCGCGCCCGCACCCGCATCGGACCGGGACCGGCAACGGGATCGCAACCCTCGGTGTTGCCCCTGCTCCTCGCTCAGCCAGTGAGTGGCCGGTCCGTATGCGGGATCCGAACCCTCGGCGGGAGCGCCGCCGCGCTTCCCAAGCAGCGCACTGCAGCAGTGCACCACTGGGCCGGCCCAGGAAAAGTTTCTTGATCCTTGCTATAGAAGATTTTTGTTTTTAAGGTGTTCAATTTGTTCTCTCTTTGGGATCGAACTGGAGAAAAGAGATCAAAACATGTGAAAGAATAAATAAGAAACTATGATATTGGTAAGGAGTGATATTATATGAAATGTTACATGGAGAAGATAAAGCTTGAACTTGCTTTAGAGATAGAGACTATGTAAAGAGATTAAGCAGAGCACTTCAAGGAAAGAACAAGAGTTGTATGTGAGGAAACCGGCTGATGGAGATGGGGAGGGGGTAGATCGCTAAGGAAGCATTTGGAAAGAATTGAGGAGACAATACAGGGTTGAAGTACATAAGGCTTTGATGGATTGTCGGAAGAGTTTGGCCTTGATGCAGTGCACCCTTCTGAAGTGCATGAAATGATCCAAGGAGCGTCTGAACACAGTGCACAGGAAAGGAAGGAGCCAGAAGGCACTAGCACAGAGGGCTGGAGCACCACCCACTCTGGATGTTGTTGGGAGTGAACCTCCCTTTCTCCTGTGTCTTCAGTCTGTTCTTGCCTGGGTCTACAAAGCCTGCACAAACCTTCCCCATGACAGGAAACAACCTTTCTTCCACCCTTTGTCCTCGCAAGCTACCCTGCTCCTGCCTGACAACATTTCATACTGCACTTCTGCTCTCGTTTTCTCCTCAACCTCATCCTCACTGGCTTGTGTTCCCAAGACCCCACTGAAGCTGCCCCTCAGATATCCCAAAGACCCTACTGACCAAAACACTGGTCGGTCTCCTTTCTGCCTCCTCAACTCTCCACAGTTGTAGAAACAACTGACCATACCCGCTTCACTTTAGAACACTCTCCTCCTTGGCTTCTCAGTATTTCATCACTATAACTGTTGCTGTTCAGTCCCTTCACAGCTGCCTTTGCCTCCTGCCATGTTAAGTGTGGGTGCTCCCCGGGGCACCCACCTCTCCACTGACAGGCACCCATATGCACACTCAAAGGCCTCTCCTCTCACGTGGAGTTAGAGCGATAGTTCTTTACCTTGGCTGCTCAGCAGAATTGCTTGGGATGTCTCTATAAACATACCAACGTTCATCTCCCGCCTTCTGACTCAGCTGGTCTGGGGCGGGACCCAGCACGGGCATGCCCAAAAACTTTCCAGGTGATTCTAATGTGCAGTCAGGTACAAGAACCACTGAGTTATAGGTGGAGAAGGAAATTGCCTCCAAGATACCAAGATAATATTTTCAAGTATCCATTATAGCTACAAATTTGCAGCTTCCATAAAAAGCTCACATTCTTAATAAAAAATTGCAGAAAAACAGAGCAGATAAGTATTATAAATGAATCACCATCTTCTTGAAAAGAATAGTTCTGTAGGTCTCCTCTGTGAACTTTAATGCTGCTTATACTATAGTATTAAAAGAAGATCTATAATTCTGCAATAAGGAACTAGCATCCCACCTCCCAATCACTCCCTGCCCCCTGAACCCTGCCAAATAAAGAAAACACAATATCCAGAAGCCTGGGTGTTGGGAAAATACAGGAAAATGGCCAAGGGCCCCTCAGATGTTCAGAATCTTGCTGAGCATTTGATGTACATAGGCACGTGCACTCAGGTGTTCCTTGGTTATCGTCCAATGTAACTGTGCGTGTACCCAGGTGTCCTGGGTTATGGACTTAAGTATAAAAGATTCGTGGCTCTGATCCACGGTGCACCCCCCAACCCCAGGATACCCTTCTGCCGTGGCAGTGGCGGCCAGGGGGAGGCCATTGCTGATGCTCCTGCTAGTGCCCCTGGGGCCCTCAGCAAGGCCACTGCCACCGCCGGACCTGTAAGTTACCAGACCTGTAAGCTGCTGCCGCTGAGGAAGCTGAAGACAGAGCTTGTGTTGTATGCCAACAGCTCCTGGGATCTTCCCCAATTACCTAGCATGGACCTGCTTGTGAGGGGTCTGGGGACCCAGTCTATACAATGGGTTTGAAGGGTCTGAGCCCTAGCTCTGACAGTGTAAATGGAAACTTAGTATAACTAAAATAACTAAAACTCAGTAAACATTTTGGCTTTAGGTATGATCTACCTTGCTTTACACTGGGGTACCAGTGTTTTCTTTAGAATCTCAAAACACCTCAGAAAACAAAACATGGAGATATGGTTTCAAGCTATGGGCATTCATTTTCAACTGAGCCAATGTGGCCAGGTGCACACACTGAAAATGCACTTTTTTGGGTTCAGCCAGATCGACTTGGCAGAGATGTGTGAAAAGAACCGTGTTTGTGCCCTCATGGTACATGTGTTAGAGAGAAATGTTCCACTCACATCTGACATCCAAGGGCTCATCTTTGTTCTGCCCAGAAACTTTGAGAAATTCTTTAGATCATTTTCATAAAGGAAATAGAGAGTCGATAATTCATTTGCAAAGACTTATGTAAGCAAAATTTGAGTTACTAATAGAAGTGATTGGAAAAATCAAATCCCTTTGCAGATGACTTTAATTGTACCATTTACTCTCCATCATTCTGCTAGTTTCTTTTCTGATGTGATGTTGAAAGTCATCTACATTCAAATGTACAAGAGTTGTTAGAAAAGCTAATGTTCAGTTGGGAAAACTCAAGACAATGTTTTACAAAACTTGCTCTCAGTAGGATTCAGCTAAATACAGTCCTTCATAGGTCCTTATAATATTCTAAGAATACCTATGGTCTATGAAGTAAACTGCCCACCATGTCCAACATTTGATAAATATGTTTCTTTTTAAAGCATAATACTTTTGGATTAACCTTACATCTTGGAGAGAAAAACAATCAAACCAGTCTTGGTATGCATCCACAGGCCAAACTCTGGAATACGTATTCTTAATGCTTACAGTCTTAAACATAAAAATTTTGGGAGAAGGAGCAAGATTCAACAGAAAGTAAAATTTCTAAGAGATTAAAAACATGTAGATTCTTGGGCCGGCCCGGTGGCGCACTGGAGAAGTGCGCCGCTTGGAAGTGTGGCAGCGCTCCCACCGAGGGTTCGGATCCCATGTGGAGACTGGTTCCCGCTCACTGGCTGAGCGCGGGGCGGGAGCAACACCGAGGGTTGCGATCCTGTTGCCGGTCGGTAAAAAAGACAAAAGGGAGGAAAAAACAAAACAAAACATGTAGATTCTTGGGCCGGCCCGGTGGCGCACTGGAGAAGTGCGCCGCTTGGAAGTGTGGCAGCGCTCCCACCGAGGGTTCGGATCCCATGTGGAGACTGGTTCCCGCTCACTGGCTGAGCGCGGTGCGGGAGCAACACCGAGGGTTGCGATCCTGTTGCCGGTCGGTAAAAAAGACAAAAGGGAGGAAAAAACAAAACAAAACATGTAGATTCTTGAGTCTGGGGAAAATTTCAACATTAAAAACAGAAGAAAAAAATGAAAATACACTGATTGATTGCTAGATAATAAAAATAGCATGTGGCAATCAAGCAAAATGGTTGAATTTGTGTTCACTATAAATAGCATCACTGTCACTGACACGGGCCAAGATTCACCAAACCTGGTACAGCATGGAGCTGGTAACATTCATTGAATAAAAACTCTAGTAGCGAAAGTGCCTTTAAACATAACTGAAGGTGTGGGTGAAGACTGTTAAGAGTTACCTGGAATGGTTGGGGACTTTCCCTCAGGAGAGATTCTGTGAATGAAAAGAGGTAGGCATTCATCTAGAAACTCATACCTGTCATCTTATACGGAGTCATAACTGAACTCAACCAGAGGTCCCAAGACCCTGTCTGATTCTGTCACGGTTTCTTAGTATATTGACCATACACTAATTATTCACAAGCCCATAATGAAATGAAAGTAATTAGAAAGAAAGAAAAAGCATAAGTAGTCCATATTACCTGAAATGGTCTCCCAGTATTTGGTAATTCAGCAGAGGCAATATTTAGAACAGAGCCACAACCACCAAATCGTTCATTCTGACAGCCATAAACAACTAGCGGGATTTATAAGACAGAATTAAGGTCCTGCACAAAATGTGTAGTTCAAGTGTGTATTGTGACAAAATTAGGGGAGTTTTTTTTTTTTTTTTTTGTCTTTTTCCGTGTCCGGCAATGGATCGCAACCCTCAGTGTTGCCCCCGTACCGGACCGGGGACCGGCAACGGGATCACAACCCTCGGTGCTGCTCCCGCGCCTCGCTCAGCCAGTGAGCGGGAACTGGTCTGTATGTGGGATCCGAACCCTCGGGTGGGAGCACCGCCGCGCTTCCCAAGCGGCGCACTTATCCAGTGCGCCACCGGGCTGGCCCTAGGGGAGTTTTATAGTAGCCATCCTGGAGAGGAAAGCTCGTGCTACTCTTTAAAACAATTAAGTTTAGGATTAGTCTTAAAAATCATACCATCAGTTACACAAAAGAAAAAGGTTTAAAGTATTTGGAAATTAACATCTAACAATTGCAAATAGGATGAAAACTGAGTACACTGTTGCTTAGTGTTCATAGTTTAGAGCTCTCTGATCTTTCCTAAATCACTTTTTTAGAATCATTAGAGAATTGGAAACAGAAAGGCAGAAATTTGATCAAGGGATTTTCACCATTTAAAAATAACAGATTGTATCCTGATCTTTGCCCAAATAAAATATAATCTGTGTCCCAATACAAAACATACCAAAGCTAAGCCACTCCGTAAGGCGGAATGAAGAGAGAATTCTTAGTTACCCATAACTGCCCTTTTATAGAGATTAAACATTTTATCATACTCAAAAACCTCTGTATTATTTTTAAGGTGATAAAATTATTCACACATACATAGTAAAATAAGCACATAAAATATGCAAGAATGAAATTGAGTTTTTGGATTTTCAAGTAATTTTTTTAAAGGATCATCAGAGACTGATTGTACTCAGTATTTATGTTGCTTACTCTGTGCAAGACATAATCCAAAGAGCTGTAACTCGATTAATTTTCCATTTACTTACAATTATAGATTAAGTTTTTTTATACATCATAATAGGTATTCATGGCAAAAACAAAGAAAAACAGATAAACACAGAAAGAAGTTTAAATCACCCATAATCCATTATCCAAAGGCAAAATATTTAGGTCTATATTCTTCAGAACTATTCCTACACATACTGTTTTATAATCTACTTTAACCTAACTTATGATTTACCCTTTTATAACACTTTTAGTTCTAAGCTTTTCTTTCTCTAGCTTATTTAATAGTTCTATGTTTATTGATATAAAAGGAAATAGGTAATTTTACTATTTGAAATATCTTCCTTTTGGGGGGCAAGAGACACTATATTTTATAATGTGTTTCACAAGTCTATGTTTTCTTATGTATTAGAACACAGGTCATGGGTCTGGCCACTTTCTTGTTCATGGGAAGGGTAAGAGACATTAACCTCTGAAGTCAAAGGATACTCATCAGGCGGAGAGCAGCTGCACACATAATACATGGCTCCACGGTGACATATAACACGGTGTGTTCAAATACTTCAGAAGGACTCTTGCCACTTCGACGACACCAGTCTAGGACCTGATCGATGGCCACCATTTCTGCATGTCGAGTAGCCTTAAAAGAGAGGTGCTCGCATTGACATTTGTCTGCTGTACATAATTGCTATTTTACAAATACACAAAAAATAAATTCCAAACCTGTGCCTACCATTTCTGCCAACATTTTAATGAATAAGGTTTCAGGACACCTTTAGCAGTTGACAATGTATTCCCTAGTTCAAGAACCATAATCTCATCAACAAAACACACCTAATCTGAGATGCCATACAAATCATGATATATGTTTAGGTAAGTACCTAAGTAGCTTAGGGAAACTCTTTCAATTAAAATGCCATAGAGGAAATAAGTCTCAAAAAAAAAAAAAAAAAAAAAAAAAAAAAACTATGGTTTTTGAATATTTTAGGGAAGCTTGAAATTTTCATAAGCTTGTGTGTTCCAGTTCCAAATATATTTTCAATGCTGTCACTGACTTCACTCTAGGCAAATCTATATTTCGTTTACTGGAATGTTACCACATACATTTTTGGGGGGTGAAATTTTCTACACTGGCAGACTCTAAGGAAGCAGAGATTTGGTATTGGTCTCAGACACCTCATGTGAGGCAGTATGGTACAGGAGAAATCACACAGCATGTGAAACTGATAACATTTAAATTTGAATCCTGACAATGACACTACTAATCATGTGGCCTTGGGCAAGTTATCTAACTTCTCCAAGCCTTGGTTTCCTCATATGTAAAGTCGGGTACTCTGGCAATTATACCTCTACAGGTCATAAAGCAATCTGAATTAGATGAAGCACAGTGCCACATAATGCTATATATGTACCCTGCTAGCTCTCTTCCCCTTTTCTTTCTCCCTTACTAAAATAGTTGAATGTGACTCATAGATCCTATACACAACAATTATTTATAATATGCATGACAATAGCATTCATCAATAATTTAAACTGAGTGCTAAATATGTACAAGCCGCTGTGCTAAACAAATTCTGTGTAGGATTAAAAAGTCTCTGTCCTCAACAAGCATAAAATCTGAAGGGGCAAACAGAAAGGTGCTCATTTACCTGTGATTTGGGGCAAGGTGTGAAAAGTGCTGGCACAGCGGCCCAAGATGCCACGGAAGCCAGAGGCAGATGGGAGCAAAGCTGGCCGAGAGGGGCTGCATGGGTGAATCACAGAATTATAAACTCAGAGAGAAAAAGGTACTTTAGAAGAGAGGTTTTCAAACCTAGCTGCATACCAAAACCAATTGGAGAAATTGTTTAAAGTTTCCCCAACTTGGGTGCTTTTTCGAAATCAGGTTCAAAATTACTGAATCAAATCTCCCCATGAAACCCCCAAAAATAACTGAATCATTTCAGTCAACTCCCTTATTTACTGCTAAAGAAACAGAAGCTACATTAGCATATATTAAAGACACACACAGCTGGGAGAGGAGGTGGTATCTGAGACAAAAGAAGCACTCTGGTCTCCTCATTTGGGGTCAAGAGTCTTTCTATGTTGTATCTATAGGGTAATCTCTATGACACAGAACACCAAAATAAACCCAGGTTAATTTCAAGGTACGGAAGAAATCTGTACCTGGTCATTGGGGGTTTAGACAGATATTGTTAGGACATTCAATGTTCTCATGCTAATGATACTGAGCCACAAAATATGAATTGGGAGATTTGACAATTACTTAAAATACAGAATTACACTCCCAAATAAGTATTTATATATTCACTAATTGCTGTTATTAGGTTTATTACTTATCCCACTGATATTTTGATATCCTCATTATAATTACTTTGTAAATCTGGGTTCCTACTTTACATGTGTTTTGCTAAATCTCAGGGTTTTTTTTCTTTTTGATAGATGTGACAGATGAACTTTAAAGTCTCCATAGCACCAGTACCAATATCAACTTGTTCTCTGGCTCCCAAGATCACATGATAAGATCAAAGTCCATGCGAATGGCATTATGGTTATAAGTTATCCTTGTGTCCACCTAGTATTTTTTATAATCATAAAATTTGGTGCTTCATTTATACTTCCCAAGTACACTTACCATGACACACTGTTGTGATAGCACATTTAAGTGTTGCCTTAAACCATGATCTTCCCAACCTAACCACAATAAAAGTAACACAAACTATTAAAGTGTACATATGTAGCTACAGAGATAGCTGGTGTCAGAGACCTTATTCCTTTGAATTATCTGATATCCAATATCAGATATATCTGATATAGAAATACCTTCCTTTATATAATCCTTTTATACTTCCCTCCAAAGTTATAAATTGAGGATTTTTTTTTTTTAATTTACTAGGAGGAAAACATTATTTAAAGTTACAAAAAATGCATTACAAATTGACCTATTTTGTAAAGTGGAATTTGCATATATTAGATTGGCTTAAAATGGAGACGGACTTGTTTCTTCCATGCTAACAACGTGAATGTAATAAAATCCTCCGTTGGGTTTCACTCAAGTGTTAAACTCCATGAAATAGAAAGTGATCCACTAAGATTATATTGTTCCATTAAATTTTTCTAAATTTTCCACATTAAAATAAAATCAACATGTATCACTTTCATAATAAAAAAAAAAATGGCATTCAAATAAAAAAGACGTCATGGAGAACTACCCACCACTGATAGCTACGGGACTATATTCAGTATATATATATATCCCAACAGTGATAAGTTCACTCTGTTCCTACCATCACTACTGTATGTTTGCAATTGCACTATTCAACCCACATACATTTTTGGTTTGATTAACTTCATTTCTTCCCTTCCCCACAACTTCATTGTTGTAGACCATAAGGCAGCCAACAGGAACTTCAACGTTTTCAAGAGCTTCTTTGGCCTGAAACACAAAGTAGAAAATCTGAGAGGTAGTGCTCAATACCTGAGAAGACGATAGCAAACAAATACTCATAGATGCAGCATGAACAGACACATGTGTATAAACACTAGAACAAGGAAATGCAGCTGAGCTTGCCCTTTTCTCAAAGACAGTTCCATTATAGTCTTTGGTGCCATGTTCTCTATTGTGTGTCCACGTTAAGGGAAACTCGGGCATCAAGCCCCTTCACAGGTCCTGAGCCTGTGATCTCACTGGAAGCAAATGGAATCAAAGGACTGTTATTGACCAATGTTCTTAAAGTGCCAGGGTCTATGCCCCTTTTCAGAGATAGTATACATATTTGCAAAGAGGTAGGAGAATGAATAATATTTATAAATCCTTTATTAGAATTTTTTTGTCATTGCAATTCTACTTGCTTAATTTTTTGTTTCTCTAAAAATTACAGGAATTATTCTCTGGAGTCCCAAAAGCATGAAGGTGACCAGACTTGATGTCACCTTGTTCCACAATTTCTACTCTAAGTTTAGGAGCCCTCTATGTAAAAATGGCACAACCACTCTGAAAAACATTTTGGAAGTTTCTTTAAAAAGTAAACATACACATAAGCTATGACCAAATTCTACTCCTAAGTATTTATATAAGAAAAAGGAATACATGTCTACAAAAAGCCTTGCAAAAGAATGCTCATAATAGCTAAAACCTCGAAAAGCGCAGGTGTCCATCAACAAGACAATAGATAAATGATGGCATATTCATGCAATGGAATGTTACAAAATAATAAAAAGGAATAAACTACTGACACCTCTACAACATGGATGAACCTCACAGGAATGCTGAGTAAAAGAAGTCAAATACAAAAGCAGACAATTCCCATCACGTGAAGTACCAGAGCAGACAAAACTACGGCGACAGAAACTGGAACAGTGGTTGCTTTGTGGAGGGGGATGTGTAGATTGATTGGGAAGGGTTACCAAGAAATTTTCTGGGGTGGTGCACACTTTCTGTATCTTGATAACAGTGTGGGTTACACAGATGTCTGCATTATTAAAAATGGATTGAAGGATACATTTACTATCTGTGCATTTCACTGTATGTCAAGTATATCTCAATTGAAAAAAAATCAATGAGAAAAATAAGTTTAGGAACACTTCCACCACTGCTAGGCTGGGAATGGCAGACCAATTATTATATTCCTAAAGGCTCCCCTCTATCATAGCCCATTCATTTTTCTTCTAGCCCATTCATAGCCACTGTGGGCTATAGGACAGTTAAAGAATCCTACCTTCCACGCAGGAAGGTTACACGTGGGTACTACCTGATACTGTTTCTGAGAGAGAAAATAGGAAAAAGCGTAACCCTTGGACTAGTGTATAATAATTTCCATCTCACTGTAGTCAAGAGAATCCAAGTACAGCTATTTCTAGAAAGGCAAGGCATTCCTTACTTTGGCAAAACTGAGGATGCATTGGAGGACTTAATTCTCATTTAAGTGTAGGTATTTATACACACCACAGGGCATACACGAGAGCACTTCAAAAAGTTCATGGAATGATTCACATTATCTTTTAATTTCATTTTTCCATGAACTTTTTGAGGTACCCGTGAACAGTGCAAAGTTGAAGGCATTACTGAAATCTCTGTGTTCCATTTTCTGCTCTACCTCTTACTCCCAGCTCTACTTTATACTAGTGACAACTTCCCATTATAGCACATCCAGGAGTTCCTTAGCTAATCTAATCGTGCTCAGCTGACACCTACCTTTCATTTGGCCAACAGAGGAGAAACGAGAAGTACGTAGTGGTAGTAAACTGGACCTCCCCTTTCTCCTCCTGGGTTATGGGATAGAGATGGGGCATGGAGAGCTATGAGGCGACAGTATCTGAAGCAATAAGACTGCATTGTCCAGGACTGTGTCATCAACTACCCACAGGCTGGTTGTTCCAGTTCTTTAATAATGAGTAAAGCACCACTTTATACAAAGTTCAAAAGCCTAAAGAGTTCCAAGGTTTGATGAATACACACAAATGCACCATGGACTACTACAGAAAGGAAGCCAGGAGGAGGACTGATATCTAGGGAGGATGGATCTCGCTCATTCCCACTATTCTAATATTGCACATACCACTCCTTACCCTCTTACCTACCTTCCTAAAGCCCATACTTCCTTACCACGCAATTTAGAATTTAGACATGGTATCTGGATCTATGTAATCTTAATAGCAGATTAAAATTAATCTTAATAGCAGATTAAGAAGAGATTCCCAGTGAGGTAGGAGGAAAATCTGGATTGTTTGGGGTTTCAGAAGACCTCAGAAAAAAACTAGCCACGGAGGAAGGGTAGCCAACTGTGTTGAATTCAGTGACATGAAGGCGATTTAGGGAGAACGGTGGAAATGAAAAGCTGTGGCTTGAAGAGTGACTTACCTATGGATTAAATTTCTACCTTCCAACCATACTTTCCCCAACAAACCTCTTATGAGGTAACATTATGTCTATATCTCAAGTATTCTGAGAGCTTACAATTCACTGAAAGTATACTTTGACCCAGGACTATTTAAAACTCTTTATAAGTATTAATTCATTTAATTTACACCCTATAAGTACAATGATCTTTCCCATTTTACAGATGAGGAACCTCAGGCATGGGGATGTTATATAACTTGCCCATGTGAGAGAGCTGGGACTAGAGCCCAGAGAATCTGGCTCTACTCGTTCATCTGTTCCACAAATATTTGTGGCACACCTACCAGGTGCCCAGTTCCAAGGTTCTCTGCCACAGTTCTGCCTCTAATTTCTACTTTAGTAACTTCAGTCATTTCACTAATCACATACTTTATCAAGGTGTGGGTTCAGATTGGGTCAAGAGACAACAGGAGAGGGAAGAATTAGCGAGAGTGAGATCCAAAAAGTTTTTTTTTTTTTTGTCTTTTTTCCGTGTCCGGCAACGGATCGCAACCCTCAGTGTTGCCCCCGTACCGGACCGGGGACCCGCGCCGGG